TGAAATTGTGGCTTGGAAGTATGGCCATCCGTGGGTGGATAGATGATGGCTCCTTCCAGGTAAAGAACGTTTTTTTTCTGGATGTTTAAATACCAAGAGTGGTACGAGGCCCTCATGGAAACGTTCCCACATTCTGTACATTTCTCCCCAGCCTCTGCAATAACCCTCTGAGAAACTGCATTTCCTTTTGAGGGGGTGAAGTGCTTTCCTTTCTGCCTGGCTCGCACTTGACTTAGCTTTGACACTTCCACAGTTTCAGCACTCGGCAAAGTGCAAATCATCTTCTTAGAGGCCCTTTGCTGTTGGTTCCTCTCTGTTTGCTTTATTTGCTTCTGTGACCCACCCCATCGGTTTGTGGTTTGTTTTTTTTTTTCCTCAACTGCATTATTTAAGGCAGGAAATAACCTGTTTCTCTGGAGGCAAGGAGCCAGGCGATGCTGGACCACTTTGTACCCAAACATGCTCCACCACCATGAGCTCAGTAGACAGCTGGGCTGCTTTGGTTCAGCTTTCAAAAGCAGACTTAGCTGTAACCACTGAACATTTAGCCACTGGGCAAAAAAAAAAATGCACCTGAAGTTATGGTCTCCTTGAAACTCTCCTGCCTGTTTTTGCCCATGCTGTGTGCATGCTCTGGGCAGGGTGGTTTGCAAGGGCCACCTTTACACAGTAGGAAACATCCCACGGAGTTGTTGTTTTCCCCTTGCTCTAGCCCAAGCATGACTGGCTGCTCAGCGGAGCTGGCTGTGCGATCCCAGGGCAGAGCTGCTAGGTAGGGTCATGCCAGGGGCTCTCAGCACCCTCCTGCCCACCACTTACTGCCCACTTCAGGAGCTGTAGGACGGAATTTTCTCAGCTTGCCCTAAATCACGCTGCTGTGGCTCTGGCAATTTGCACAGAAGGGAGAACAGGGACTCCTGATTCCTGTTGCGAAGGTTGCACATGTGCAAGTCCCATTTGTTTCCTGCCTTGTAGCAGTGACCCTGCCCTCCTCAGCCCGTGTTCCCTCCACCCAACTCCCCTCCACCTCTCGGCGTGAGCCGCTGCAGCTGCATGACCTGCACCATCACAGGGCTATTCCCAGGACACCCTGAGCTTCGGGCTTCCCAAGAGCCCACTGTCACTTCTGTTTGTCTTTCTGTGTGCTCTGGTAGTATGTGGAGGCTGCTTTTGCAAAGGCATTTGGTGCCTTCCACTGCAGAACAAATCCAAGGTTTTTTTTTTTTTTCCCTTCTGCTTGTTCAAGAAAGCTTCCTGGCTCACAGCAGAGGAGCAGTGCTCTGAGCCTGGGATAGGACAACACCTAAAACCCACACCACCATTCAGGTCTGTGGGTATACAAGACCTTCAAGTGAAATGTGTAAGTGAAGCAAAAGATGGGGAATAACATCAGCCCCATAGGGTCTGACAAGCAAGACTAGAATTGATCCATCATTGCCAAGTAGGAGGAACACGGGACACGGTGAGGACTGGACAGCCAGTCCCCAAGGGGATTCCCTGCTGTGCAGCCCAGATCCAAAGCCCACCTGAGGTCTGTTAGGCATACGTGCACTTTGGCTCCCGTATTTTCCAGCCCCTCAGTGTCCCAGAGGGGTGACTCACACTGCTGCAGGCACAAGCCCCCTGCCCATGCGCACCAGCCACCAGTGTCGCCTTGGGGCTCATCTTCAGACTCCGCCTGGCAGGCAGCGAGTGCTGCTCCTCTGTTCCCAGAATGAACCTTATGCAAATGCCTGATCCAAACTATTTTGTCATCCTTGACAAATCTTCCTGCTGTTAAGTCATTCCGCACTTTCCTTGGCTCGGAGCTCCTCCAGGATGTTTGGTATCGATGGCCTCGCTGATGCCTAGTCCGACAGAATTTTTATTTTCCCTCCCACGCAGCTGCTAGTGGGAGGCACTGATTCATGCCAACAACCTGCCCGATCCTGGAGCAGAAAGGCAGCCAGGGAGAGAGCTGAGCTACTGCAACAGGCAGGTGCTGGAGCAGATCCTCATCAGGCATCAGTGAAGTAGCTCCCAGTCTGTGAATGGAGCTGGGGCCATTTACACCGGTGGAGGATCCTTCCCCAGGAGTTTGAGGTGTTTTGGCATGCGTGGGTACATCAGGACATATGGTTGCTAAAATCAGTGTACAACAGGGAGTATACATCCTATATAAATGTGTCTATTTCACTATTGAGCGTAAGTGATTTTGTGTGGGGCATATGTTTTCCCACAACACAAAAGTTCATTTTAAAAATACCGTGTTCTGTAGGCTTTCCCTAATGACTCTTTTTCCCCACACATCTATTAACCGACAACATATGCCAGTATTTCTTCCTTAAAAGTAAAAACTGGCACATAACACACAGAGCGTGAAATAATAAGATGTGATTAAGACAGTAGCTGGTACTAACCAAAGCCAGAAAACTCATGGCTGAAAGGTCAAACCTTTATTTAAATTGCCTTTGCAATGGCCTATTTATTGCAGGTGCTGCGAATTAAGAGGGAAAGTCTTATAATGAAAGAACATCTGGCATGGAAAATCTCACCTCAGTTCCAGCTAAACAAAGTTTCACTCGTGCTAGAAGGTAGGTTCTTGTAATGGGAAATGCCAGTCACCCTCAGGGCAGGTAACACTGTCCAGCATTATCTATAATGACAGCATTTCTGGGTAAGATGAAGTACGTGAGCCAGGAATGCTGCTAAATGGGTGCTAAAATCAGCACTTCCCAGTAGAGAAACAAGATGGTTCTGTGATTAAAGATACCGAGGTGGGGTTAGGGGAGATCAGAGCTATGCCCTGCAACACAGTTTCAGTGTGACCTTCACCTGTTGGTTTATTCTGAGTTCCCAGCAGCTCATTCTGGGTATCTGAGAGCTCTGAAGGAGCGAGAGCACATTTACACGCATGTACACCCACGTCTTTGTCTAACAGCAACTCCCATAAAAAGGCTGCCGTTAGAGGTTGAAATAATACGGGTTTGTGTCTTGTGGTCCAGGCCTTCTTGTTTAAGCAACTCAGCATGTGCTTTATGAGGCTGGCTTGCTTTTGCATCCTTGTCCCCTCATCCTCCCTGGGCCTGGGGGGTCCCTGAGGGAGCATCGCTGCTCCGGGCATGGGCTGGGAGCCAAGACAGTCAGGACACAGCCAAAAGCAGCTGTGGGATAACTGCCTGTGTGTACTCAAATCCGTTCTTCCCTCAAGGGAATGGCTGGATCTATAGGGGAGTTGCTTTGGTTTGTATTTTGTGGTGCCCTTTTTTGTGATCTGAGTTCTCACTTCAGTAAGGAAAGGTTGGTCTTAGTTTTGAGACTTGTTGGTGCTGGAAGCAGAAAGAGGCACCCGTGAGCCGAGTACCACATGGAGGGATGAGAAATGTGCGTGTGTAGACAAGTCCCATCTCTGGATTTCTGTCTCAGCGAGTGTTAATGCTGGTTGCCTGATGTTCAAGAATAAACTTGTTGCATGTGAATTACTGGGGGGAAAAAAAGAAAAACCTGGGATGAGGAAACACAGACTGTGGCTAAAGGCTGTTTTGAAGGCTAGGGGGGCTCTTTTCAGAGGTGGCAGTGAATCGGGATCAAAATGCAATGCTGGACAAGGGTCAGACTGATTTCTGGGCCCCTTCCTCCTGTTCCTGCTACCATGGGGTGCCTCTGCAGCGCTAGTGCTTGATGAGAGGAGACGGTGTCAGCGCCCAGCCTGCCATGAGGAGAAAGAAACTAAGCCAATTAAGTGCAGATGTTTTTTGTTCAGCATTACTGTGCAGCAGGCACCCTCAACAGCCTTGCTCTCGGGTTCTCCTCAGAGTTGCTCAGCCTGGGTGGGACAGTCACCCATGCACACGTCCCATCCAGCATTGGATGTGCCTAACTTTGAATGGAGGTGTCCTCTTCACTTTGTTCCCGGTGCAGGTTTGCCCCACTTGGCCTGTTTTAGCTGAAATAGCCCCCCTAAAGCAGCCACCCAACACAGGGCTGCATGGAGGAGGAGGCATGTGGGAACTGGCTCTTCTCAAAGCCAGGGCATGACACTTTGCAGGCTCAGTATGCCTCGCATGAGAGCTGGTGAAGCCACTATGGCTTGCTCTTGCCCATGTCCAGGGTAGCAGAATCTCTTTCAGGGTCACTTTTTCTGCTTTTCCTGCTTGCATCACCTCTCTGCCCCCAGGGTTACCACTGGATGCTGGGCCTGCCATCAGGGCTTGCAGCAGCATATCTCTGTTTTGTTTTTGTTGGTTTTTTTTTTTGGTTCCCAGAGTGTTTAAAATGCTTTCTGCTCAGCCTTTCAAAACGTCACATGGAGTGGCTGGACTGAGTCACTCCCAAGGGCCTCCTGTCTGAGTGTAGTTAACACCAGCTGCTAGCAGAAAGACTGAGGAAACCCTGGAGCATCGCTTAAGGCTGAGATACGGGCCGAGCCCAAGGGAGCAGGTATGGCTGCTTGTTGGGAATTCAGAGAGATTGTGCCAAAGGGAATGTCCCACACAGGCTTTTTCAAGAGGTGGGCCTGAAGACAAGGTAGTCCTCAAGGTGCTAAGGGCCCTGGGGAGATCTGGCACCACCCCCTTCCCATGGGAGCCTGGCTCCCAACTGGTCAAGGCCACCTTTGCAAGGTCTGGAGAGGGAAGGTTCCCACATTAGTACCCCTGGATAACAGGTCACATCTCTTGGCATCTGCTGGTTTCCACCTTGCGAGGACATTTAATCTTGAAAGAACTTTTTTCTATATTCCCTGGCAGGCTGTGTGCTGACTTTATGTCCCTGGCAGGGGGCCTGCAACACATTACAAGGGTTTTTGGCTGGAAAGCTGCAGAGGCAGTTGTGTGTGATGGGATTTGGAACGTCAGCGAAGATGCCCATTGCTCTCTGCCTGGTCCTGCCCGTAGGTGCCAGCTGCAGTGATCCTCCGCTGCTCGCAGTAGGTGCTGCTCCTTGGAAATTGGTGCTTTTCCAGGGAGCCCAACAGGAACCCAGTATCTGCTCTCTGGCAGCCACAAAGCCATAAACTTCTCATCAAGACCAGCTGGATGGATGTGATGGTGAATGAGCACCAGGCAGTGTGGAGGTGAGTTCCTGCCAGACCGGGCTCCTTGATCTGACCAAGGAGAGGTCTCTGGAGAAGGGACAGAGCGGTGGCCCTGGTGTGGAGCCGGAGGATGTGTAGCATCTGTGCTTGGAGCTTTGATATGCCAGTGCTGCCTGGCTTGTTTGTACAGAGATGGCAAAGCCAGAAGGTTTGTGACCATCTCTGTTTAAAGAGAAGGACCCAACGGAATGCCTCCCTGAGGGAAGGACAATTAAGTAAGTCAGCTCATGTCCATCCTCCCAGCCAGTCACTCAGCACTTATCCTGTCAGCCCGTTCGTACTTGGCTTCACAAAGCTCCAGACTGCACCATGGCCAACCAAAACGGTTGGGACAAGAGGGAGGGAGGTGGAGACAGAGCACTGGAGCAGGTGGATGGCCAGGCTGGGATTCAGGAACAAGCTGGGATCCCTGGGGAGAAAGGGGACACGTTCAGAATCATTGAATTCATGTGTCAGTTCTCTCTCTCGCAGAGTAGACTGGGCTATTCCACTCTGAAAAGATTCTGATTATCCTTGAAAGGGTGTTTTCTCGGTATTGCAGGGTTGGAGGGAAGATTTAGATCGCATTTGAAAACCTTTGCTTTTGGGGAGCCAAACTCTGGGCACTCCTCCTGCAAGAAGCGGTTACTGCCACTTGGCTTGCAGACCCGCTATCCCTTGGGTTTTTTCCCACTGATGATTCTCACTCCCAGCTGCTCATTCCCACTGACTTCACATGTTACGGTGGCTGCGTTTCTAGAGCCAGGGCGGATTGCTGTCCTGGCTGGCGTGCTGCAGTGGCAGGGAGGGTGTTTTGCAAAACATCAAGTCAGTGCTGAAATGCGGTCCCTCTGTTTCCTCTGCCTGGCTGTCGGGGTGAGTTATCTGATGACCCTGGAGTCGTAACTGGGGGGGGGCAGATGAAAGTAGAAAAAACCTCAGGAGTGGAAGGATTGTGCTGCCCAGTGAACAGGGCGGGGGTTGTGTGAGAGGAAGGCAACATCCCTGACAGGCCCTACTTTGTCTGTACGGCCTTTTGCAGGGGAATTATAACTATCATATGCCACTGGAAAATTGTCCCTACATCACAGATATAGGTAGTTATCATCCTACCCAGGAGGGAAAGCCTGAAAACTCACGCATTTACAGCAAAGCCTAAAATGACAGGCCACAGATATGATCTCTGGTCCTGGCTCTCAGCTGGTATTGTTTGAATGTAGTCTCTGAAGTTGATGGAACTAGACAAATTTATGCTGATAGAGTATCTGCCAGGTATTTTCAGTTCCCAAGGCTGCCTTTAAACTTAAGCCTCTTAAGCCTTTTTTTATAAGCACGCAGCATTTCACACAGAGAGCCTAAAGGTCTTAAAATCAGGGTATGCAAAAGAAGAAAAAGATTTTCTACTGGGAAGAGATCTTAGCAAAAACTCCTCTTGCATTTTGCAGGTTTTGCTCTCTCTTTCATAGTGTGGTTTTGCAGCTGGGTTTCTGTTTTTAGTGCCAGTGGCGATCAAAAAGAGGTGATTGAAAATTTGTTTGGTGATTCCTTCTGCTGTGTGAGTACTGGTTTCATGAAATAGGTCTCTCAACGCTGTGTTTTCGGTCTGGAATTATGTGCAAAGTCATAATGGGATTTTTTTTTTTTTCAATACATGCATTGTTCAGCAATAAAGTTTCCTTTGAAATCGTTACGGTCTGTTGCTGAAATCTATATATTTTTATCTTACAAAATTGAAACTTGCCTCTGAAATTTCCATGACACTATCAACCACAGAACAATATTGTTCTTACCAAATGGAACCCTTGCTGAGTGTCAAAGTGCTATAAATATTTAAAGAAATTAATTACTAAGCAAGCCAGACTAGTGCCTCAGTCTGTAAATATTAAATGGAAAATACACAGTTGACAAAATGCAGGCAGAAACACTGAATGGGGCTGTTTCATTGCCTAAATGAAATTATTTGCAGTGCAGAGGCAACTATAAAAGTCGTTTTTGCTTAATGACAGGCAGCACTCAAAATACAAGGGCTTAAGTCAGCATTTTGCTTGCTGAAAGAAATTTCCATCCTGTTTTACAGTCCTCTGCACAAGCCCCAAACTTCTTCACCAGTGAGGTTACCAGCATGGTTAATTGCATACTTTAAAAAAAAATGTTGGGGGGGATTGAGTGGAGGTTGGGCAGGGTTTATTTTGGGGGGGCTGGGGGCCTAGGTGTGCAGCTCCACTGTGCCCTGGCTGGAGGGTGAGATGCCCCGTAGCTCTCTGGGCATCAGCTGCCTGGGAGTTCCAGTTCTGCAGTGATGCTGAGCATCCAAACACTGGGCCAGGGAGACATGCTTTTGGGGGCTGCTCATTTTTCAGGACTTGTCTCTGGTGAGGAGGGTGTTGGAGTGCTGCTATTTCCCCCCCTTGCAGAGGAGGAGGAGGAGGAGGAGGAGGCATCTGGGGCTGCGGAGGTTGCTTCTGTAATTTCATTACAGCTTAGGCTGGGAGAGGATTTAGTCATAGCCAAATTCATAAAGCCATGAGTAATCATGTAAGGGCTTTTTGAGCTCCTGTGGATCTAAAGCTGCAGTTTAGCTTGATGATCAGTTCATCTGGAGTGGCAGGTTTTGACTGGGACGCCAGCACATCATTTTCTGACAGCAAATCAGGAATTTATACCAAGGTGAAAAGTGGCAGCACAGACAAGGAGAAGAGACTTGTGACTGAAAATCCCAGCGGTGCAACAGTATTAGGCAAATTCTGACTTTCTCTTGTAGGAGGGCAGAAAACTTGCTTGTTGTTTCACATCAGTGTCATCTTTCCCGTGGATGCCATACCGATGTAACTTAGCAAGAGCTAAGTTGCATTTTCTGCCTGGGGCAAGCAAGGTCCGCAAGTTGCTGTCAGGGAAGGACCTAGGAAGTGGCACTTGATAGTGGTAATCATGCTGACAGCGCAGTATGGGAAAATTGTCCTTTGTTCCATAGGCCCCAAAGTCTGCTTTTTATTTATGTATTTATTTTTGTATTGTGGCATGTTGTGGTTTGGGCCTGATCGGCAACCAACCCCCGCAGCTAATCACCCTCCCTTCCCCCTCCCTACCTGGGAATGGGGGAGGGGATTAGAGGGGTGAAAGGAGACTCGCAGGCTGAGATAAGAACAGTTTAATAATGGCAATAAAACGAGAACAATAACGATGATGGGGGGAAAACAAAAAGAAATATATAAACAGGCAATGTCCAGCGTGATTGCTCACCACCCGCTGACCAATCCCCAGCCCGTTCCCGGCCAGCGACCCCGAGATACCAAGATCCCGCAATCGCAATCCTGGAAGCGAGCGAGCGAGAGAGAGAGAGCTCCTTCCCAACCACCCCTCCTCTATACAGTGAGCATGAGGTTCCATGGTGTGGAATATTTCACTGGCCAGTTTGGGTCAGGTGCTCTGGCCGTGCTCCCTCCCTGCTCCCTGTGCCCTTGCGCACGGGCAGGACATGGGGAGTCGGAGAGTCCTTGAAGTCTCGGTAGCAGCTGAAAACATCAGTGTGCTGTCAGCATTCTTCCCATACCAAACCCAAAGCTAAATCCAAAACACAGCACTCGTCTAGTCCCTGAAAAGGAATATTAACTCTATTTCAGCCCAAACTAAGACATGGCATAATGTAGTTTTCTCCCATATGAGCTGACAAACACCGAGAGAGGAATGGCGGCGGGGAGATAGGTGTGTGTGGGTGGCATGTGTGAAGATGTTCCTGTGGAAAACCTGGGATGTGGAGGAAATGGTTGTGTTTAGACTTGGTCTTCCCGCTCTCGCTTACCTGTGTTTTGGGTTTGGCTTGGTTTTGCTTTTTTTTTTTTTTTTTTTTTAAATTCTGGTGATATCTTTACATAGGCCCTGAAGGTTTGTATCAGCTGGCATAGGGCTTTTTCCATAAGACCATAGCAGAGTCTGTGCATATATTTTCAATAACCCTTAACAATTATGACATGTCATATAGGCATATTTTAGAACTCTTTTCAGTTTGGCCATATAACATTTGAACTTGTTTCTGTGGTATAGATGTGTATCACTGGAGAGCTGGAGTTAGAAGGATCCTGCGTGGAAGAGGGTTACAAGTGAGCAAAATCTTTTTTTAAAGAAGACCGAGAAAGGCAATTCAAGAAGAGTCAGCCTGAACTCTTACGGTTTTCTTGGTTCTGAAATAGAAGTAACCTGTAGATTCTTTAGATTTTCTTTGAAGAAAGTCTTTGAGACTAAAGAGTATCAGTTGGTTTCTAGCAGTTTCTGTACTGCCTAAGAGCACATGGCATGAACAAAACCCCACTGTGTGAGGTACTGTAGAACTATAGAAAGTAAAAAAAGATAGTTGCCCACACTGCAGAAATTACACATCTGTACCACACAGGGTCTCTTCACAGCTCCTCTGTCTCTCAACTGGAGCTCAGTTTGCTGGCCAGTTCATTGATACCATGCACTAAGGCCACGGGCAGTTCAACTTTCAGGGGAAGAACAACCTGAAAATATTTCAGTGGAGGCAAAATATGTGCATTTTAGTTTTAAATTGGAATCTGGTTATTGTGTAAATACAGAATTAAATGGTTTTATATCTTGGTGGATTCAGGCAATTTGCATCCTGTGGACTCAGTTCTGCTGGGAGGGTGCATTTTTTATCACTATTGGGTTTTGGATGACAGAGAGGCTAAACCGAAATATGCAGACTGACCACCCATTACAAGTCACAAACTGTACCAGCCCAATCTGCCCAAGCACGGGCTGCTGCAAGGTGTGCTTAGAAGCATTTTGGCTTAGCTAATAGCAGTATCATTTAATTTCCCATGGATTCAGCTCAAGCAGACACTGTTTCTGATACCTCTGTCCCTGTTGTTTGTCAGATCCTCCTGTAACTCCACAAGCAAGCTCTATTCTTCAGCATCACTGCAGGTGTCTGGTACAGGATAAATAGTCTTTGCTCAATAAGAAGGAGGAGGTCTGAGTGTGGTCCTGGCTGCTGCACCTCACAGAAGTTGGAGGCGTGCAAAGATTTTAGGGTGTATATGGGCATATGCACCCCTTAAAAGTTTTTCCTTCTGCTTTGCCAGCAGCACAGACAAGATCCAGCTGAGCACTGGCCTGTTCCCTCTCCAGTGGACATGCCTGATGGATTTTAGCTCCTCTGAAGTCCATCACCATACAAACAAAGTGATGAGCTGGGCACCAGATCCTGCCTCACTGTAGAGCTACTAAGAATGAAATTCCTGTGGCATTGTTCAGCTACATGTTGCACCAGCTCTAAGACACTGTAACAGTTGGTATTAGTGAGTTATGGGTAAATATATATACAGTAACATATAGTGACAGCAAAGCCTAAGCATTTGTCCAACTCTGTTACTGTTATGCTGCAACCAGCATTGCCTATGCATGAGACCTCTGAAAGGATTTTTGCGGCCATTCGTGAAGCTGGAAGGACGGTGTCCCTTGAGGTGCTGGCTTTTCAGATTTGATTGGTGTTTTTCTCCAGATCCATCCCCTTAGCACCTTCTGAATGGAAGAGATGACTTTGTTCATGAAACGGGCTGCAGGATTTTCATTCCATGAAAACTAATTGGCAGCTAAGAATGAAGGTAATCCCACTAGCACATCTAATTAGGGGAGAGCAATACTTATATTCCCCAAGCAGTCTCCTCTCGGCTTAGAAGGAGCTCAGACACGTAAACTCGCTTGTCATCATTTGAAGTTCTAGCTTCTAGCATGAGCCAAACATTTTTTTTTTTTTTAAGTGTTTGTATTTGAGAGAATCCAGCAGGATAAATACTGTTTATTCATAGAGCGATAGATTGTCACAACATTATGAAGCGTGTACATCACTGCAATTGAAGTTCTGACACATCTGAGAAGGGAGGTTGGGGTGTGCCACTCACAACCGATGGAGTGAAATATGCCATTGCCTGCTGTAATCCTGATTTAATGCAGTCACATCTCTTTCCTAATCTGAGAGGAAGCTTGTGCCAGCTGATACCTGGCTGTAAAAGTCCATGTGAAGCAACATTGCTTTGAAAACACAGGCTGACTTAATTTAACTGTGGGCAAGGTGCTTGGATTCTCTGTGTCTGGTTTTCCAGCACTGGCAGAAGAGTCTGTGGGATCATGTTTTGAAATCCTAGGCTTGGGTGCTGAAGATGGAGTTAGGTATGTACTCCATTCAGTACTGCCCTTGCTCCTGGCACAGACCTCTTGGGTGATGGTTCTGTAAAACTGGCAAATCTTCATAACCCGGATTCTGATCAATTCTGAATACATTAACATGTGCTCCCGTGTGGACCCTGATACAACTGATGGCAAAACATGCCCCGACAGTGCTTTAACATCTTCTCTTACCAACGGCAAATACAGAACTTCTGGATTCTTTGGGATCAGCCCACACAGTGCTAAGGTGAGGGAGCGTTTCAGAGAAATCCTGTGAATCCTATAAATCCTATAAATAAACCAACCAGCACAGAGGAAACAGCCATTGAGGCCTCGGTGATTGCTGCTGCAGTGCAAAGGATGGATTAAAAGCCACATGGGGCGGGAGTGTGGGACTGCTTAATCTCAGCTGTCTGTTCTGCAGCAAGAGGGCTCCTGTAGTGGTGGTTATACCGACTCTCAACAGGACTTGTGCGATACAGCTACTTAGTACAAATGCCTCATAGATACTAAAATAGCCTGCTATTTTTATTCAGCACTTCTGTATCAGTTGCCCCTTTTGGCAGTCGTGTCCAAGATAAGTATAGCCAAGCAAATGCTGGAGTGAAGCAGTTACACGAGGATAACCGGAGTGCTATTTGTACACCTGGGGAAGCAGAGAATGCTTAAAAGGCAAATGTTTCACCTAAAGTTCTTTCTCGTGACCAGCTGAGGAGGTTGAGGCCAGGCTGAATCCTCACACAGACAGGGAGGACATGGAGCACCTGGAGCCAGTGAAATTGTTCTTTTGAATAGTCTTTTGAATCAGGTTCTCCACTTCCCACAGTCAAGGATGGTGATTTCCAAAGAAGCATCTGCCCATGGAGATGGGGCTTGTATAGGCGATACGAGACTGACATGAAGGAGAGGGAGGTTGAAGAAGCAGAGAAGATGCTGCAGTGTTAATTTGCTTTTCATGGTGGCCATGGGTTCTTTTATTTTTCAGAAACTTATCTGAATGCAAGGTGAACAAGGTATCTGGCTTTGCCTTCTGGAGTTCGAGGCTGTCCTCTGAAACAAGCTTTGAATGGAGCTCAGGTTCCTGGCTCCCTTTATGCACAGATGGAGCTGCATGTGAGTTTTACTGGAGTGTTGTGTCCTTGTGTCCTGTTTTATATGTTTAAAGGCTTTATGTTTATAGCAGCCTGGCATTGTTAAGACACAACGTAATAGTCACTACACAGAATGGTAATAGAGATAACTGCCATTTTGATGGGTAGATCCATTGTCCTCCACCAACACTGGCAATTAGAGGGCCACCTGCTTAGTGCTGAAAACAAACAAAAAAGAACAACTGAAAAATACACATAATTTGGAGATGGCCCTCTAAGAGTTAATTAAAGGAAAAGCAAAACAAGTCCTAGTCTTACGATGTCTTTGCCTGGCTCTGATGGGAACTGGGAGAAGCATTTAGACTTGCTCTGTGGAATGCTCAGCTTGTCATTTGTGCTTTCCAGTCCATCAAGGACTAACTGGGACAGTGGGGGGCTGTTTAAGAAAATTATGTAAAGCTTGATCTCTGTAGGTTTGCTCTGGCTCCCTAAGAGCATCATCACAGTAAGTAAGAGGTTTGCCTGTGGAGATGGACGCGAGGAGCCGTGATTTCCCCAGTAAAACATATGAGGAACACTGCGTGACATTCACTCACCAGACAACCTAAGTACAGGGACCACTTTTCACTCGTTCTCTGGTTCTGGGTTTGCCGTGTGTGGGGCAAACCTATTTGAGTAGAAGGGGCAGCAACCTCGCAGTGAAGAAAAGTCTGTAAAGGCTTTAACGGGGAAGGGATGTGGAAACGCAGCGGTGATTTCTTGTGAAAGCTGTGCCAGAGGGATGGATTACCGCACCTCCTCCCTGTAGGTAGGGGCTCAGCATCCTTTGACTGTGGGAAAGACCTGAGGATGATACCTCATCCTCTGAGCTGGAGAAAGCGGCAGGGAGACCCTGCTTTTCTCCTTTTCTGAAGGGATGGCGGGGCGGCGGAGCGGGGGCTGTAAAGGGGTATTAGGAATATTAAGCGGGGAGGGGAGGAGGAAGAAGAGATGCGGTGGTTGCAAAGGAAGGGGAAATGAGTTCAGCTTTCCCAGCCGGGGAGAAATGTCCCCCCACGCTGGCGAGCCGAGGGGTTGGAGAGGGGGGCGAGGTGGCGGGATGGGGGTCCCGCGGCTGCCGGGGGTGAGGGCGAGGCGGGAGGAGGGGAGGGGGGGGGGCGGTGGCGGCACCGCCCCCGGGGGCTCGGAGTGACGCAGGCTCCCGGAGGGGCCCCCCGCCCGTCTCCTCCGCCCCCGCTCCCCCCCTTTAAATAGCGGCGAGCCGAGCCGAGCCGAGCGGAGCGGAGCCGAGCGGAGCCGAGCCGAGCGGAGCGGAGCGGAGCCGAGCCGAGCCGAGCCGAGCCGAGCCGAGCATGGGGCCGCTGGCGCTGCTCGGCCCCCTGGGCGCCGCCGCCCTGGCAGGTGAGCGGGGGCGCGAGCGCGGACCGTCGGGCTCCGTCAGCGGCGGGTCCGGCGGAGCCCGCCCTCGCCGTGAGGGAAAGGCGGGTAGAACCCCCCCCACCACCACCACCCGGGGGGGGACGGTTTAGCGGGGAGTGGGGTGAGGTTTTGCCTCTGAAAAGAGGTGGGAGCCCCCTCCTTTCCGCCCCCCCCCCGCGCGCTCTCGGAGGGGTGACGCCATCAGCGGGTGCGTGACGTCACGCCCAGCCCGCTCCGCGTCACCCCGCGGTCGCCCCTGCGAGGGGAGGTGAGGTAAGGCCCGGGGTTTGGGGAAAGGGCGCGGGGGGGTCCGCCCGGAGCCGTACCGGCCTCAGCCCTCACGCTGCGCCGGGGCCACCCGCCTCCTGCTCATTTTATTTTTCTCCTCCAGAGCGGTTTCTTTCCACACAGACTCCTCGGTGTCATCTTATTCGAGCGGTGCTGGTAGCTTGTTGCCAGCTGGTTCTCCATACTTGGAGGTGGTTGTGAAGTAGCAGGTCTGTGGCTTTAGCGTAACGGAAAATCTTTTTTTGGCATGCGGCGTTAAATATTAAAACCACACTGTGAAATGAGGATTAAACGCACTAGGATGAGGTGATCGCTTGCCTTTACAGCTTTTTATGCGTGCTACATCATTTCTTGCACGAATTGGTGTCATTCTGGGTTGACTATATTTGGCTTTAGGTATGTTAGAGGTCTCCACACGGAAACGCTTCTGGGACTTGTACAGAAACTCATATAATGAAGTCGACTACCTTCAAGTGCCTTTATAATAATCACAGGGGAGGGTGGAAGATGGGGGGAGAGACCCCAGCCCAGAGAAGCTCACCAGGCTTATTTCACAGATATCGTGGGGATTTTTTACCACATATTTTTTCCCGTTCACGCCATCAAATCGGTAAGGTACTTCTTTATGTCCTTTTTGGCTATTTTGCTTTCAAATGTTAGCCAGAATCTATGAACTAAGGAGTTTGGGGCTGGAAATCAGTGAAACATTAACTTCAAGAACTCTCTAGTGCTCCTTCTGCAAATCAGTGTGCCAGTTTCCATGATCTTTCCTAGGGAGGGTTTTTGCTGGCATTTTGATGAGCAATGGCACTGCATTGAGTCATCGGCTTTAATGAAACAAAGCCATGTGGGGGTTTCATCAGGGACCCACCAAAGGATCCGTCCCAGTCTTGGAGATGTAAGCAAAAGCCACGTGAATTTGTCCTGCATTTCTCATCCTTTTTTTGGTGATCTTCATCAGCTCTTAGCACTTCAGCAAAACCAAATAAACTGATCGTAACTGCCTAGGCAGATTTGGTTTGGGGAGGGGAAACCAACCCAGACCTCTGCTTTGCTTCATGGGTCTGTGATCTGATTTTTCTGCACGGGCAGGGGAAGGGTTTCCATCTCAGTGTGCGCTCTGCCTTTGTGTCTGCTGCGAAACCCCACGGTTGTACCGTCTGCTGTGTCCCCACCAGCCTGGTGGGTGGTTGCCCTGCCACCCGCCTGTGTCAGCAGTGCTGGGGCGATGGCTTCACCCCTCCTGCGCGCATGTAGAGAGGAAGGCAGAGGTGTTGGCCAGCTGTTCCCAGCTGGCAGGTGGCCCCGAGGGGGCTCTTGCCACCTGGCATGGGCTGGCGTGGCCAGCACCGGTGTAGCGTGGGGCGTGCTGCCTCCCCATGGGCTTCCTATCTGAGCTCTGGCAGAGCTGCTGCCTCAATATATTTTTTTCAGGCTCTGTGATGGATTGGATACTTGTTTCTCCAGGCAGGTTAATATGACAGGTGTCTAATACCATTTGCTTCATCTGACATTGTTATGATAGCCTAATGCTTCCTTTTTTGTGCATGTCAGCTTTCATCATTAACCAAGCACTTGCTTAATGGTCATTAATCTATCTGTAAATCAGTTTGGAAAGACAGAAGCTTTAGAATGAGAGGGGCCAAGGCAGTGAGTACAACCTGACTTTATATTCCTGCAGCCCTGACATAGTGCTCAAGAGGTGGCCCAAAGTTGGCATCTCTAATATCAAAAGATGCTCTGAAATGTGTCTGTTCTGTGCTTTATCAGCTGGGTGTAACTCACAGGAGATCTGTCGTGGCAGCATCACTAAAAGAATAAAATCAGATGTTTGCCCTTGTGCGTGTCATCATTTCTCATGGGCTGGAGGACCAGAGGAGCCTTGTCAAGAAGAGGCAATGAAGTGGGTCATCCCCTCTGCTTACATGTAGGTGGTGACTGTGAGCAGCTCTTGCCGTAAGAGCAGCATCTCCACCCCCCCACCCCCCCCCCCCGCCGTGGGGTTGGGAAAGTGTCCTTTTAGTGGATAACACATTTTTTTTAGTAGAAGGGACTTTGCTGCCAGCCTCTGTCCCCATGTGTACATCTGTCCTTACCCTCTGTGCTCAGATGGAGGATGCAGGCAGGTTAGGCTGCAGCGGCGTCAGCTCTGTGCGGTGTGGTAGTTACTTGCATATTAGGTTAGTAAATAAAGTAACCTAAAGCCTGGCTCAGTCAGCATTGAACGCAAAAGATGGGGGAGAGGGTTGGCTCTGTATAGCACCATCTCCTCCGCACACCACCTGGCGTTCTGGGGAAGTGATGGGGTAGGGCTGTAGTGCTATTTTAGGGGAATCCCTTCTGTGCTATCCTCATGTGGGTTCCCTTCTCTGCTCGCAGTTGTATACGCAGAGAAGAGGCGGGGGCTGGAGGAGCACATTCCTACACGTGTTTGGGGGAGCAAAAATAAAGGACAGTAGAAATACCAAGAGAGTTATTATTGTACTGTGTTCAGTTATTACACACAGAGTCAGTGCTCCAGGAGATGTCAGCTTCCCCTGCGCACTCAGAAAAGAAGCAAGGTTTTGCTGCTTTCAGTAGTGCAAGGTGACATGCTCCTGTCTGCTCTGCAGGAAACTTCCTTGGGGCAGTGTTAGTTTTCCTGACACTATAAGGCAAACCGACCCCTTTCATCTCCATCATCTGCTTTGTGTTCATCTGCTACAGAAGGTCTCTCACTGTCCCAACCAAGCAGTATTGCAGAGAGGGTGATAGGTGTATTTAAGATTATCCCGACTTGTGTAAGAACTTCAGAGCTGTACATCTGTGTACTGTGATTTCGTACCATGCGGTAAGTCTTGCTTCTGTGTACTTGGGTGTGGCGGGCAGCCTTGCTTAACTTCACTTCTGCAAATCTCAAGGTGGATGAGAATTGCCATGGTTTATTAATAACGCGCAGCAGCCAAGCTCATTAACCAGCTGGAGACATACTGCAGCAGTGATGGTGAAGTAAAGCAGCATGGAGGTTTCATTTACAACAGCTTATTTCCCAAAGCGAATCACAGAATGGTTTGGGTTGGAAGGGACCTTAAAGCTCATCCAGTTCCAGCCCCCCTGCCCCGGGCAGGGCCCCCTTCCCCCAGCCCAGGGTGCTCCCAGCCCCGTCCAACCTGGCCTTGAACCCTTCCAGGGAGGGGGCACCCACAGCTGCTCTGGGCACCCTGGGCCAGCGCCTCACCTCCGGCACAGGGGAGAATTTCTGCCTTAGATCTCATCTAAATTTACCATCTTTCAGTTTAAAGCCATTATCCCTCGTCCCATCCCCACCCCCTGATCCAGAGTCCCCCCCCACCTCTCCTGTCCCCCTTTTAAGCCCTGGGAGGCCACTCTCAGGTCCACCCGGAGCCTTCTCTTCTCCAGGCTGAACCCCCCCAACTCTCTCAGCCCGGCCTCCCAGGGGAGCTGCTCCAGCCCCCCCAGCATCTTCGTGGCCTCCTCCAACCCCACTCGAGCAGGTCCGTGTCCTTCCGATGTTGGGGGCCACAGAGCTGGACACAGGACTCGTTTACCTTGGACCAGGTACAGCAGAACTGGTGCAAGGAGGTGTTAATTACCCAACGTGTCCTCAGGACACAGAGAGAGACAGGTTGTGCCGCTTTGTTCCGGAGTAGTGTTTTCCACTGGGATTTGCTTTTTTTTTTTTGCTTATTTCTTGGGGTGATAATGGACCACTCGGTGAATGGAAGTTTTCCTGTCCCTTCTGGTTTTGTCTTTCCCTCCAGGAGCTGCCTCCTATCCAGGCAAGACAGGATTTCTCCAGTAGGGTTGAGACAGTAGTTGCTTAAAAGCCATGAAGAATGGTCTTCTACTGGGGAGTTGGGGGAGGGGGGAGCCCAGAGCCCCTTTCAGAAGCCAAAAGGTTCTTTGGGTGCAAACAAGCTCTGCTTGTTTCTTGTCTTCTCTCACCACCAAACAGGTACAACTGCATGAAGACCTGACTTGCAGTAAAGCTCCGATCTTGGAATTTAAGCGTTGCTTCCTACTTTTTGGTGTATATTCTTCTTGTGCGAGAAATGTTAACATGCCTCTTCTCTCACGCTAGGCTGCAACTTTACCTTGCTTTTCCAACCTGAATAAGAAAAGATGTAATGCAAAACGTGTCCGCTTTACTGCCAACCCAAAACTCGAGTAATCTCACCAGACCAATTTGATTGAGGACTCCTGTCAGTGATGCTCGTTGCTAGGATTAATAAGTCTGTAATAACTTGTTTTTCTTCCAGGTGTCAGCGCACTTCCATCAGAAAAAGACCATCTTGAAGAAATGGTGAGTAGCTGTATGTCAAAGCAAATTTCAGAAAATATCAGTCTCATGCTTTCCATATTTTGTCTTTAAACTGTCAGGGTAACACTTTGTTTTTCTTAAGGGTAAACTCTTAAGAGATCATCGGTGATGTGGAACTCGAGAGTCCCTTTAGCTGTCAGAAGATACCTGCGTGCATTTTGGTGCATTTGATGAAAATCAAAACTGGCTTCTTGTGTGGTACTTTTGAAACTCTACATTGTACAGCTGCCCGAAAAATTATCTGAAATATTATTTGATAGTGCATGTTATTGGACTGTAAAAAGTGAGATGACCACTTTGAAGAAAGATTAAATATCTACAATCTATTGTAATGGACTTTCTAGTGCAGTCCTCCCATCTCCTGCTTTGGAAAGAGATTCTTTACCTTGTTTGATTAAATAAATGCCATTAGCTGCTCTCAGCACCTGTAACCTGACAGCAGGTCCTCTCCACTGGTTGAGAGTGTGATCATTTCGATTAGTAAACACCTAGTAGTAACTAAAAAACAGTCAATAGACAAGCAGCTATACTTTGTTGTTTTATTGTCTCCTCCCATCCGGCCTCCCAGATTGTACTCCTGATGATCTGAGTGCTTGCTCACAACCAACAACTTCAACTCTTGACCATCATTCTGCATGAATTTGTACAGAAGAGCTACTTTGGTAGCACTTAGGATTAGAGGAGGTTGCGTGACTTTCCCAAATCAATCCATTTCCTCTGCTTCCAGAAGACGATCCAGTTGAATGTGAAGTGCTAAAAGAGGCAGAGCCTACAGCACACACGCATGAAAAAATGTGGAGCATGTTGTTTAGCAGAGGATATAAAGGCAGGTTTGGTTTATTGGCAAACCAGGCAATACTTCTGGTAACACCTTTGTAGCATCCTCATTTAGACAGATCCTACAGGATGATCCTCATCTTTTGAACGTGTGTTGTGCTGGTTGTTTTTTCTGTAGGGTGCTGTTACCACACGTTTGACTCTCCTTTGTACTGAATAGGGCATTTAATATTTTAAAATGTACAAAAGGAGACTGTTACCTATGCAAACAAAGGGGAGATAAAAAGAGCTAATGACTGTCCTCTTCTTACAGGTATGGGAGCGAGGACCAAAGCACTTGTTGCCCAAATGCACAGAAAGTTGTGGTGGAACTGGGGATTACTCAAAACTTGTAAATATTAGCCTGAATATTGATTCTAAACTAGCTTTCTTCACTAACTGGATCAGAAGTAGGATTTCCATTTTTGCCATGAGCATTTTTTTCTCCTATTTTTTTTCTTCTAGGTAACACGGTGCATAGTGGAAGTTCTGTCCAATGCACTATCTAAGCCGAATGCACCACCAATTAATCCCGAATGCAAAGAAATCCTGAAGAAGAGTAAGTACAGCATTATCTGAACTTGTGAAAGGGTTTTGGTAGATGGGTTCTCATTTGCATTCCAGCTGGTGAACTGTTTTTTCAGTCCGTGCGAAACCGGTGCCTCCGAATTTCAGAATTCTGACTTCCTTCTGTTTCATCTGTCTTGCTCGAAGAGCAAACAGCCTGCCCTGGTAACTGTCAGGGATTCTCGGCTGACATACGTGGCTCTTCCACTTAACCCACCCAGCGAGCCTGCGAGAAGTAGACAAAGTCTTTAGGTAGCCTGAGAGGTCAGGAAATGCGAGCAGGTTTGGCCCACATGCTGAATGCGCCCCGGAGGGCAGGAACTGGCTTCGGATAACTGCCGCTGAAATCGGCAAGGCTCCCGTGCTTGGTGGCAGCTGAATCCCTGCCCAGCTCAGGAGAGGGAAGCCAGCCCAGAAGTGATTTGAGTTTGCGGTCCCGATTCCAGAGGTCTGGCTACGCGTGCTGAACGCTCCCCTTGGAGCTGAGCTCATTCCCACAGCGCGGTGCTCAGCTGCCTCGACGTCGGGGCGCACGCCTGCTGGCTGGCTTGATGACTGGCTGTAGGGAAGCGTGGTTCGGCTTGACGCTGTGCCAAACTGCAGAACGCCCATCTTTCTTCCGCCCCGGGATGTTTATTTGATTACAGAACAATAAAAAGGCTCTTGAACTTACCTGCCAGCAAGAGGCAATGAAACCCGTCTGTCTCCTGCTTGTTTATGGAGGGAATAACGCATGGCCCTGGTACGGTCATCAGATGGGGGTGGGTTTGGGTCTTTGGGAATACATGTATTTGTACCTAACTCAGCCCCGAATTTATAGGAGATGCCGAATGCCATCACTCTTCATGCTTTGTTCGTGACACACGAGTTTTTTTTTCTGAAACTAACAATATTTGCCACGTTTTGAAAAATGAAAGAACACTGGAAGGGGACGTTAAGGACCGTATTTTTGCCATTAGACAGATCTCCTCCAAGAATATCAGACAATAAGAAGCTTTTCAGAAATAATGAGCTATTTTTAAATCTGTGCAGCTATTGTCTGAAAACTTTTATGATTTGTGATCTATTTCTGGTGTTACTCAGACAAAAGTGAAGCAGAAATATCTTCACAGAAATATACTGTTACTGATGTGGTCAGTCAGACTTGCATTTAACATTTTGGAAATAGCAGAAGGAGCATGATTTGATTAAACATAACTATTGTAAAGTAACAGATTTCTTTCTCTTTTTTTTTCAGTCAGTTTAGAGCATTCAAAATTCAGTAAGAGCCCTAGATATTTTCAAATAGCTTGAAATAAATGGTTTTCTTCTTTTATGAATAAGCATATATGATGGGTAAAGCCGACATTGAAAGAACCGAACACAACTCCAGATCCCATTGATTTTTAATGGGAATGAGAGTTAATTTAATTGAATGCTAACAATGTGGTCACAAAGAAGAAAGACAAAGAGGAAAAATTATTCCGGAAGTTTCAGTGTAACTTTTAAAATGCCTAATTAAATTAAAATTAGTTAGTGCTTTTCCAGGCAAGCTTAAAAAATATTAGAAAATGACTGATTTTAAAATTAATCCTGTCCAGATCTTCTTGCTACTCTGGGGAAGCCGGGTGTCTATTTAAACTGAAATAACACTTCAGTGGAGAGTTGGATTATTTCATTATGCTGCTTTTGTTATTGTAGGTGGTAGAAATGACAGACAGAGAAGTGAAAGCAAACAACTTGAAGTGAGGCATTTGAAAGAGCCAGCAGAGATCGAAAAACATCATACTGGGAGTGCGGAGAAAGAACAGAGTCAGGCAGAAGAGAAATCTAAAAAGTACATGAGAGGAAGTGATGAGGAGAAACTTACTCAGGGGGAAGGAAGAAGCAAGGAAGAGGAGGATGGACACCACACAGCTATTCAAGAAGAGAGACTTCATACAGAAGAAAAGAAACAGTATCAGGAAATTGGAAGAGAGGAGAAGAGCTACCACAGTGAAGAAGAAAGCAAAGAGAGCAAGCGTCACGATGAAGAGGTGGAGCATGCTGCTCTCAACAAGAAGTCCCACTCTGGGGGCACGAGCACAGAGGAATCCCCTGATGGGAATGATCAGCACCCCACGGGCCACTGGCACTCAGAGGAGGGAATACAGAGCCCTTACAAAAGGATTCGTGAGGGTGAAGAGGGAGAGGCAGAGGAAGAAAGACGTGAAAAATACCACCGCGAGTCTAAGGAACGTGACTTCTCCCACCAGCGAGAGCGTGAAGAATCTGAGGAGGGTGAAGAAACAGAAGAGGAAGAGCAACCCTACAAACCCAAACGTTCTCATGGGAAGCACAGGATGGGTGACTCCTCCGAAGAGAAGAGGGGCCGTGGTGGTGAGGAAGAGGAGCTGACTGAGGAGTCAAACAGGGAGGAGGCCCATCTCTGGGACGAAAGGAGCCACCGTCAGAAACATCTCGAAGGGTCTGAGCAGCAGCGTGAGAGGAGCGGTTACGATGAGGGGCATGGGTCTGAAGAGGCGGAGGACAAGAGGCACACAGACCAGGGAAGCGAGGAGTACAGGGGCAGGTGGCAGCAGAGCGAGGAGGGCAGTGAAGAAGAAAACAGGAGGCATCGCCACAGCGAGGAAAGTAACGAGAAATGGCGTGATGAGAGGAGACGCCATTCTGAGGGAAGGACGTATCTTGGAGGTGGAAGTGAGGAAGAGCTGGACAGGTATCCCAGCGGTGGCAGCAAGGAGAAGCAGCATCGTGCTGGAGGGAGATACCACTCGTGGGACAGTGACAATGAAGGGTCACAGAAAGCGCACGCTCGAGAGCGCAAAGGGCAGGCCAGAAGGCACGACAGCACTGAGGACAGTGCAGAGCAGCAGCGCTACCCTGGCAACAGCGAGGAGGAGGAGGAGGAGGAGGCGGAAACGAAGCCTCAGAGCAGTGATCAGATGGAAGATGAAAATATGGAGGAGGGAAGATATGCAGAGAGGGAAGAGTACGGAAGCCATCTTGCTGCAGAGAATGAGAAGAGAACCACGGCATCCTACAGCCCTTTCTACCCACTGCTGTGGTGGAAAAGCCGGCACGTTGAGAAGAGGGAGAGCACAGGAGGGCAGGTTCCGGAGGGCAAGGAGGAAGGCAGGCCTACCCTGAATGAGAAGAGCCTTTTCCCTGAATATGATGACTACGACTGGTGGGAGAAAAAGCAAATCCTAAGTGTTCTGAACCGTGGACACACCGAGAAGAGGAATGTTGGCAAAATGAACAGATACGATATGAAGAGGCAATACAACAAGATGGATCAGCTCGCACAACTCCTGAATTACAGGAAGAAATCGGCCGAATTCCCAGAGTTGTACAATTCTGGAGAAGACATGAAAAAACGTCACATAATCAGGAATGACAGAAGGAGCCTGAGCCAGAGGCCACTGACAGAAGAGGAGGTATGTGTACAGGTGTTTCTCTGAAAAGCTGGGGGAAGCTGACTTTACACCTACATTTCTAAATCCAGTCCCAGGGCAGCCGGTAAACTCTGCGTGGAAAAACACAAGATTCACACAGAGAGCCAGATCTTTAGCATTTTTAAAAATCTGCTTCCTTTGAATGAATTCAGTGGTACCTTGTAAAGTAAAGACAACGTGCGTCCTCGTTAGCTTCTGTCTGCTGCAGGATGGGAAGAGAAAGGAGATTTTCTTCCTCTTTGGGCCCTACCTCTCCCTCTAGGGTCTTACAGACTAATAACACAAAGACGTGCCTCGCAGCAGGAGTGGAGAGGCAATTAGCAAGCACCACTTGGTCGGTCAGGTTGTTTCAAACGTACGGTTGAAAATTAAGTTGGACATTTGAGTGAAATTCAGCTGGCCGTTACCAGCCGTAACTGTAGAGTAGAACCTGGCTTGCATTTGTAAGCCTGATTCGTGCTTGTAGTTTCCACCTACGTGAATCCTTTTCTTGGTGGACATCCTGTTCTGCTTCCGTGTCCGGGAAAACGGAGTCTGGACGAGGCAGCTGGTTGCTCCTTACGTATGTCACTGTAGCTGTTGCACCGAGCTGGGCTGGGAGCAGCGGAGGCTTAATGCTAATTTATAGAGAGGTTAAACGCCGTTAGGAAGTCATCATAATAAACAAGAATTGGCTGCATAACTTTTTTTCCCCCCTCCTCCAGCATCTGCTAAGGTGGAGGTGGTGTTCTCGCTGCACACTGCTCGCTGTGTGTTGTGAGCCAGGACCGCTGTGATCGTAGGGTTGTAGCCTCTCAGGGTCTCCTTCACCTTGGGCAGAAGTGACTGCGCGCGGCAGCGGGAGGTCACTGCTACCTAACGGTGCTTTGAAGCTAAAAAAGACCAAACTGTAATTAGGGCCCGCTCGCAGCATTTACTTTCCCCAGCCCTAATTGGGTTGAAAGCAGGAAATTGTACAAATCTCCAAAGTGTGTGCTCCTGCCCCCAGCAATCCGCCCAGGGACCAGTCAGTAGCAGGAGACCTCTGCCTCAGGAGCGGTCTTTGCCTCTCATTTTCATGGAACAAAACATTTGCCAACCTTATTTGATGTGTAAAATGCTCTTTATGTTTTCGCAGGAAAAAGAACTGGAAAACCTGGCTGCTATGGATTTGGAGTTGCAGAAAATAGCTGAGAAGTTTAATGACAACAGGAGAGGCTGAAGTTGATCTGCTTTGGCGTTTCAAAGCTAGGTGTAGCCGTACTCCCAATGCCTGTATTTTGTGGTAAATTCACTGCCACTGGATTGTTGTTTGCCCGAAAAACAGGAAATTCTACTTACTGTCCACTATAGTGTAGTGATCTAGACAGCTGAAGATGTCTTTAATTTGCTGTTATGCTATTGGGATCTGAATAGCATGAATTTTGGTATTATAACCTTTCACGCAAGGCAGATATTTTTAATATGCTTGTGAAAATAATTGTGTTTGTGTTCTTCAGAAATACATTTGCCTGAGTTTGAAATAATAAAAACCGTTGATCTTGGACCAAACTTTCTCCTTGCTTATCTGAGTGACTGGCTTATTGCCAAGTAAGCTGTATCAGGTGGATGGACTGTGGACAAAATGTTCACCTGCGGTTCATCGGTATTTTTTAAGTTACGAGGAGCCTATCTGTGCCTTTGATTTGGCAGTTAGCAGGAGCCTGGCTGGTAAGAAGGAATGCCAGTTAGTTTGCTCCGGTAACCCAGAAACACCCTGTGAATGATTTAGTTCTGGAAACGAGTCCTTAAAGAAGCAAAGAGCTTGCAACACCGAATGGACGCTTCATTTGGAAACCACGCGGCGCTTCAGAAGCAGTGCGTTACGCGGTGGATTGGTTTTGCCAATTAATTTAGTCTGAGTAAGTCTCAGTCCCATTGAATTTAATCGCCGAGCGGCCGTTCCTTGCTAAGGTGTTTTGTGCTTACTGCAGGCGGGCAGGCGGTGGTGAGCGCCGCTGCGGAGCCTGCGCCGCACCGGCGTGCTGCTCACCTTGCACGAGGAGTTTCTCGGCGGGCGCGGGGCAGGACGGGCTCCGGGTCACAAACCGTACGATGCCCTACGTCAGCGGTGTGTGGGAGGAGCCCCTGGGTAATTTTACCACACTACGAAGCAGTGAAAGGAATGCTCCTGTCATTGGTTTCAACTACTGCCGGTATCTGGGGTTCAGTTGAACTGAACTGAGCCAAACGTGGTTTTTACAGACTGTTTTACTGCTGTGACAGTGTCTTCGGTTACTCGTGTCAACACCACGCAAAGAGGCGCTGTACAAAATTCAGCTGAAGCACGTTACCAGTAAATGTGCAGCATCTGTCATCTCAGCCGAACCCATTTAATCCACAGACGTACTCTCCAGTTAAGGCAGTAAAATATTCGGTGCGCTACTGATCCCCGCACTGTGTGAGCACGTCTGGGGCTCGGGCTGTCGGGAGAACCTCTCAAATGTTTCATCTTGTTCAGTTCAGGTACGCGAAGGTCGAATCCTGGCTCAAAGAAGTTGACAGAATTTTTACTTCAGTAGGACCATGGTTTCGCCAGGCTTCTCCAGCAACAGTGAGGAAAGTGAGAGTGTCCCAGCTGCAGAAATACTTTGCTGCCTTCAAATTCTGAGACTCTCCCTTTTAAAATTTACAATGCCATACAAGAAGTATTGCAGCACAGTACGTTCTTCCCCCAGCCTGCGTGAGGGAAAGCCCATCTGTGAGTCTGTAAATACCTAGAAGCAAAAAGCTTTAGTTGCAGCACAGGAAACTTCCTAAATTGCTCAAAAATGCAAATCAAGTAATAGTATATATATTTTTTGTTGTTGTTTTTTAAAGCTACACTTATGCAAACACACAGTCACGAATCAGCAATGCTTTGCTTAAAACCCTGTCCCCTGAAAGACTTTAAAAAATCAAATAGCATTCAGCAGCTTCCCAGAGCTTTGTGACAGCCCTTTCGGCTGCCGCCCTCCTGCGCGCGGCTCTGCGGGGCTGACGCCACGAGCACCGAGCGCCGAGCTGCTGTTTTGACTGCTCCTGCCTCTGCCATTTTTAGCTACACATTTGCATTACGTCTGTTCCAAGAATTTTTTTTTTTTTTTTTTAAATCAGCCCTCCACTACAATTTACATTAATTTGCATTAGTTAAAGGCAAATTGCATGCTTCTGGCATTGAAGCTAGGTGGTACGGCTTACACCGACTATTGGTATGTGACGATGCGTAACCTTGTTCCAAGCAATCAAATGAAGCAGAAATTGGGGTTTTGGCTTCTGAAAAAGCCTTGTCTTGCTTCTGACTCGTGCACCCCAGCGCAATGGTAAAATCTTTTTAGTAAAGCTAAAAGACTTTACTAAAAGACAGGAACGGAAAGCTTGGCAACTAGTTCTTTCTTCTTCTCTGCTATTTTTATCCTGCTTACGGAGTGAAGGCAGGTGGATGTTCTCTCTGTGACCGAAGCGAGGTACGGAGTCTCCTCGGGCGCTGCCATGTCTCCGCTGGCCCCGGCCCTGCCGGACGGCCGCAGGCGGTTTCGGCCGTGGAGGCTCCAGCAGTTGAGAGATCGGGCGCTGCCGGAGGAAGGGCTGAAGCTCCTCTGAGGGGCGAGAAGCACTTGGCACCTCCTCCATCCCCCTCCTTGGGCAGAGAGCTCAAGCTTGGATGAGAACTTCAGGAGACACGGAGCGCACGCATTTTTTTTTTAATTTTTTTTGTTGCCAGAAACGATGTGAAGGCAGCCAGAGTTGGGCTCTGGTGCCTGGAACCACAGCAGAGACGGTGGCGCAGCGCCGGTCGGGCGCCTGCGTGCCGGGGGCTGGCTCCTCACACCGCCCACCCGAGCCAAGTTCCTTTTCTCCACAGCGTTGACCAAAATTACACAATACCAAGTTGTCGTGTTTTATATTTGCAGAGATAAAAGCCCTTGGCCCTTCTGCCTTGAGGCTCCGGTGATGACCAGGCTCCTGAGCTACGCTTTGTGGAGACTAAATTGAAACATCAATAATTGTAAATATTTTCCATGAATTTTTTGTTGGTTTCTTCCTATCTCCCATTGGTGCAAGCGTTACGGCACATTTCAAAACGGGGGGAGAGGATTCAGCGCCGAGAGCATTAATGCTGCTGAAATGAAGCCAGTTTGGCTTTGATCTAAAGTAGTTTTTCAGGTGTTCTGATACTGTTTATTTCTCACAGCTGTTTTTTTTTTAGTATACAAATAAACCAGATTTTTTTTTCAGGTTACTACTTTTAGCACATTAAATATAATAAAAAGCAGGATTCAATACATACGTTGGTTGTTTAACCAAACTTTTACTGTGTAAATTTTTACACCTTTGCAGTGCACGAGAGCCGTGTACCTCCCAGCTCCATGGCAGTGGCAGAGCCGCACCTATGCCTGCTTTCCAGGTAAGAAAACCGAGGCAAAAGGCAGTTTTTCAGTATTGATCTCGTGGTTTACACCGATTTTTGTAATTTTCTTGCCTTGCACTAGCTTCCTACCCATTGCTCTAAGCCAGGCTATCTCAGAATTTCATCACGTACTGGGTGTTGGCTGCTTTCAAAGTCCCAGTTTATCCTAGTTTACCTTCAGTATCCAGGTGCAGGCATATAGTAATGGAAACCCCATCTTCCCTTCGCACCTTTTCCCTGTGAGTTCTTGAAAGAAGCTGAGAAACCCAGAATTATAAGAAAAAATAGTAACTTTGTATAAACCACACATGGCCTTTCTATTCCCTATATGTGTGATTTGCAACACTTACCCTGTATGGAAAGGCAAGGAGGGCAAAGCATATTTTTCAGATCCACTTAACTGGGGGAATAGAGACTGTGAAACCTACAATCTCTCCATTTAGGAGTTTTTCATATAACGAGGAGAAGAAAAGAAAAGCTTTCCATAAAAATAGAAAAAAAAACCCCACCCAACCCCAACATGGGAAGTTTAGAAAAAACTGGAACAGAGGTAGACAAAAACCTGAAGGTATAGTGTATCTGTTCACTAAAAGAAATGTTCAAATCTTCTGCTGCTTCTTTCAACAAAATAGAGCCCCCGTTTTGTTCTGAGCTAATGGTTTCCTAAAAGAGCATTACTCTTATCAGTATACAGAATTTTACAGCTTTATGAAGTCTGATTACTTGATCCCAAAGCTCCAGATTCCCCCTGATGAGCAAGTTCAAGAACAGAAGCCAAGTCCTGCTGGCTCTACGGGCTCCCATCTGGGCCTAAAGCTCCCCACGGTGGGTTCCACGGGGTGCAGCCAGCAAGGGTGTTCTCCTCCTAAAGCCCCTGCTAGAACTTTTTATTTCCAAAAAGAGGGAAAAGTAAGAAGAATAAATCTCATTAGGAAAAACATCCTGCAGTTTAATCGAAATGGCAAATGCAAAATTTAAAAAAATAAAAAAGCTACACATCATGAAAGAGAAATAGTAGAATAAATATATATACATGTAGCAGTTTTCAAAATAGTCGTATCTTAAAATAAAAACATGTAACAAGTCTCAGGAAAATGACAGACAATACTAATAGAGACATTCTGTTTAAATATTTGGTATTTTAATTTATGAACATGCACTTTCTCTTCTGGATTTCAGGAAAACATGGGTCATGCTGTAAAGTTCTGGTATTAGTATTCTCTATTGTTCTTCTGGAAAGAAAAGTGTAGCATTTTTGCAGTTCATTCCACTTCCTCACGTTACTAAACGTGGCTGGGTTCGGTGTCCAAATAAGGAGCAGATCACCACGTAGGATGTTTCACCCTGATGCTGCTCTGAGAGAACGGGAAGCTAAGTTAGATGTCTTGATTTGGGCTCGACCTTTAAAAAGATGCCTTCGTCATATCCACTTCTGGCAACAAGCAATCAGAATGATGCTTCCTCTTCTTTCTGAAGTCAGTGCGTTTTCAGGGGGATTTTTGCTTCCAAGGGTTTTTCTTATTCTGGCGTTAAGCAAATTCGAGCTGTGTGCCGAACTGCACAGTCAACCGTACTATCAGACACTCTGTAAACAATAATCAACAATTTATTAGCAAACAAGAACCTGAAATAATTAACTGTATAACAATCCAGCAAAGTCCCACGCGACACAATCAGAAAGAGAAAAAGTAAGAACCAAAGATATCAGCACTGTCCTTTGGATGTTGTCCTTCGATGTCTTGTTACCCTTACTCACGGGGCGGTAGCGATAGAAAGACAGAAAGAGTCCAAGAACAACAGTCACGCGCCGCGCGGTAACTCCTCTGATCAATAACATTTTCTTCTTTGAACTATAAGTCTGTTTCCATCACCTCATCAAGGTTTCGAGGGCGTCTTAGTTGTCTTCGTGATCTTGGAGGATTGGGGGGAGGAGGTGATCTCCGACACCAGCCACGAGACATTCCCTCGCATACCGCGATGGCAACGACAGTCACCACCAATATAATGAAAAATCCCAACAGCAGGGCGGCGCACACGGGATCGTCCCCTACTCCCATCTTCCCAAGATTGCAATCCAGCGGGATCAGTAAGATTAGTGGGATAGTCCAGCCCCAGGCTAGCGGCTTG